CTCCAATCCTTCCAAAGAAAGACCCTTTTCGCCGCCTGCTGTGCAAGCGCAAGGACCTGAGTTCAATCCCCGGTACCCCCCCCCAAAAAAACCAGAGAAAGACCCAATCTGCATTCCTCAGAGTTCTTCTGAGAAACAGAACCAATAGGATGTGAATGAATCTATAGAAAGAGGGTTTTTTTTAAATAAGGAATTGGCTCGCACGATTATGGAGACCAGCAAGTTCAAATTCTGTAAGGGGGACTGGCAGGCTGATGATGCCAGCAGAAGTGCGGATGCTCCAGCCAATCTACTGGCTGAGTTCCCTCTTCCGGCGGTGTATTCAGTCTCTTGTTCATCAACTGATCAGATCAGGCCCACCCATGTTATGGAAGGTAATTTGCTTGACTCAAAATCCAAATGTAAATACAAATTTCATTCAAAAAACATCCTCAGAGAAACATCTAGAAAAGCCTTAAAGCAAAAATCTGGTGTGACCCAGGCAAGTTGATACATAAAATTAATGTCTCAGAGCCTACTCAGGAATAGCTATGCCCATTAAGACAAAGCACATTTCTCTAAACAAAGCTTTAGGTTCCTATGTTGATACTGCTGGCTCAAATCTCTAAGCCCATCTGGCTCAGAGTCCTAATGACCTTTGTTATCTGGTTTCACAAATCTGAGCAAATAGGAAACAAGGGGGGGGGGAGGCAGAGGGTAAGGATCTGCTGGAGAGAGAAGGCAAAGAGTGAGGAGTGATCGCTCACAGCCTGAGTGCAAACAGGAGCCACACAATCTATAAAAAAGTAGATGGAGAAACCATAAAAGCTCAGCCGCCCAGGGCTTTAGAGTGTTGTGACAAATTGTTCTGTCTGCTTGTGGAGTGAGGCTATCATGTAGCTCAGGATAGCAACTGATGTTCTTAATAATAATACTCTGGAGTCTCTAAATACCAGCACATTTTGAATGTCTTTACAACCACAGCCACATCACAGAATGGGAGGAAAGGGGCAGTTTTTAAACATGCCTGAAGGGGGCATGGCACTCACAGCTGGGATCTCACCCCCGTGCTTATGCTGGCATAAGATCACCTACTGGCTCTTTAAAAATGGCTCGCTTCCCTTCTGGGGACAATAGTGTCCAAATCTCATTTTAAAAGAATGATGCTCCCTTTTTTCAGCCTATGGCTTGGATGAAATCAATGGCACTCCTTCTCCATGGGCAGCCCTTATGGCTTGTGCCAATCTATTTTTTTTTTTTTTTTTTTGGTACCGGGGATCGAACTCAGGTCCTTGAGCTTGCGCAGCAGGCGGCGAAACCACTGAGCTAAATCCCTGGCCCAGCTTGTGCCAATCTAAACATGCCATTTTCCCCTCTGACCTTGGTTCAGAGAGGAGCACTTATCTAAACTAGCGTTGCAGTAGTGCAAAGGGTGTTTCCTGGGGGCTTCTGGGAAAAAAAAACTGCCTTCCTCTCTCCCTACCCCCAGTGGCAGGTCATGAGGGTGGGGTCTGGAACTGTTGCCGCCTTTCTGCTCCTGTGAAGGGAGTTTCCAAGTGATGGGAGGGAGCCTTCTATGTGGAGTGTAGATAAAGCCAAAACAACAAAAGACAGGGAGGACAAATAGGGAGACATTCGATTCTTATAACATCATATGGGCAGCTGGATGGAAACACTTCTGAGTTGTAGGGTTTTAATTTATATACACCAATGGATTCCTTTTTCTGATTAAGCCAATTTGAATTAATATTTTTATCTGTGATGAAATTGAGGTTGACTAATGTAAAGGTGACACCTGAATATAATCTTAAAAGAGTAGAATTTTGACAAGAAAAATTAGAGTATTCCAATAATAACAATTATAGTATTTCTAACAATATCAACTAACTACAGCAAAAATGTAGTAAGCATTTAAAATGTTTCAGAAACATTGTCTAGTGCTTCATTTAATCCGCAGGAAAACCATGTGAGTTTGGTGCTATGATCACTTCATTTTAGGAGGAAGCTGAAGGTCAGAGAGATTAAGTGACTTTCATAAGGTGGCACAGCACGGAAGCACACTAAACAAATATCTGTATGATGCCCGGGAAGATCTTCTTACGCTACCTGTGTGGCCTCTCCAAGCCACCAGAGACACAAATGAAGAATGCGGAGCAGAAGAATCACCATTGGAGGAGAGTGGAACTGACATAAGGCATACAATACAGGACCTCCAAATAATGTAAGGGAAATACTATAATTCCCAACCTGCTAGATATCTGAAGTGCTGAGTTCGTGTTCTCTAAAATCAAAGAATGAATTCTAGGAACAATTGTAGTTAAGAGTAGGAAAACTTTATTGTGAGAAAGATAGTTTCTGTCTAAGAGAGACAGAAGGAGGACCAGAAAGTGAGCTGCCTACCCACTCTACTTTTCAAAGGTGTTTTATTGAGCAAAGCCACCAGGAGAGGTGGGTTCAAGGTGGGATAAAACTACAGTCAACTAATAAGATTACAAGTATAGTCCCTGAGCTGGGGATTTAGCTCAGTGCTTCCACCACCTGCCACCCCCCCACACCTCCCGCAAGCACAAGGACCCGAGTTGGATCCCCGGTACCAAAAACAAGTATAATCCCTGAGGTAATACTGATCCAATGGGAAATCATGAGGTGGGACAAAACCATGATCAACCAATATGATTTCAAGTTAAGTCGCTTAAGTAATATTGATTAAATGGGGACCAAATGGGGAAGCTAGTCACACAGCCCGTGTACAGGGACTGAACAAAGATTTCCTGGAAGGAATGGGCTAGGGAGCTTTTGGTGCCCACCCAAGGTGATTGATACCTATTTAGAATATCAATCACTGCTGTTCAGCCTTAGGGGAAGTATGTGGGTGTAGTAGTTCTTCCTTTTTGAATCCTGACCTTTAGTGAATGGGCCTCAGGCCACAACTGTCTTCTGTACTGAGGGCCCAGTCTTGCCTAACTGCCTTACAATATTTTCTAATTAATTTAGCTGTCTACCATAGAACCACAGCCTTGTACAGTGACGAGGGTAGGATGGGGCAGGTGTGAGGCAGTTTGTTGGGTCTCAGGGATGGCCCAGTTTAGCTTCAACTATCAATAGTGTGCAACACCACAGTGCAGTTCTGAAACTGCTCAGGATCCGCCAACAGAACAATCCAACTGCTGCCCAGGTTCAAAATAGGGTCCTCTTCCAAGATATTGTAATCCACTTATTTATTCATACAACAGCCATTTGAATGTCTATGCCTCAAACATCCTTCTTGGTGAACAAGACCTTCAAGGTAACTGCCCCACAGACCTACCAGTTATGTTGGAAATGACAACATTAAACAAATACTTCCATCTGTCAACATATAATTTTGAGCTGTGCAAAGTGCAATGAAGGGCAAGAATGGAGAGCAATAATAAAGAACAAGAGAGATCTGGTTTAGATTGGGAGACAGTGTGCAAATGTGTAGGGTAAAGCTTCTCCATGCAGGTGTCACTGAAGGGAGAGCCTTGGTATTTGGAGGGATGTTAGCTCAGCAGGGGCAGATGCACTGTAAGCAGAAGGAACTGCATATGCAAAGAGGGCACTGGATTTACACTGGAGTATTTAATGAACTGAAAGGCCAGGGTGGTTGCAGTTAGTGGGTGAGAGTTAAGTGGGGGCTGGGCCACACAAGTACTTTTGTTCTCCACTGGAACTTCAGATTCTCAGTCATTCATTTCCTCATGGCACATTTCCTGAGATATCCCCCCCCCCCC